ATGACAGCAGTCTTCCAGTATCTCAGGGGCTGCCCCAAAGAAGAGGGAGTCAATCTATTCTCCAAAGCACCTGAAGGCAGGACAAGAAGCAACGGGTGGAAACTAACCAAGGAGAGAAGCAACCTAGAACTAAGGAGAAACTTCCTGACAGTGAGAACAATTAACCAGTGGAACAACCTGCCTCCAGAAGCTGCGAATGCTCCAACACTGGAAATTTTTAAGAAGAGACTGGATGGCCATTTGTCCGAAATGGTGTAGGGTTTCCTGCCTGAGCAGGGGGTTGGACTTGATGACCTCCAAGGTCCCTTCCAACTTTATTATTAAATTTGCCAATGACAATGGTGTTCAAGTGGTGCTCCAGTTGTTTTGGGATTGCACCCAAGGCACTACTACTACTACTACTACTACTACTACTACTACTACTACTACTACTACTTCTTCTTCTTCTTCTTCTTCTTCTTCTTCTTCTTCTTCTTATTATTATTATTATTATTATTATTATTATTATTATTATTATTATTATTATTATTATTATTATTATTATTATTATAAGGTCCCTTCCACCTCTGGCATTCTGTGATTATGGAAGGGTCTCCTGCTTGAGCAGAGGGCTGGACTAGAACACCTCCACGGTCCCTTCCAACTCTGTTATTCTATGTTCTGTGTTCTAAGTTTGGTTCCTGCTTGGGTATTCCTAGGAAATTACTGCTACTTGACTCTTGCTGGTCAATTATTCCTCTCCTAGCAATTATGCCAAAGGCTTTTCAGGGCTCTCTATTATTTCCTCCCACCTCCCACTGCTTTTTAATATTTGTATTAAACCATCAGAAGAGGATTTCAGAGGAGAGAGAGAGAGAGAGAGAGAAAAAAAACCCCAGCAGATAGAAATGGGCAACCTATCAAGATTTATTAATAAAGGAAGGGGGAGAACGTAAGATGAAGTCAAGAGAACAATGACCGTGGAGGAACTTTCCTTTCCAATGATTTTCATATGCACAATTAAGAGAAAGATCTTAATACAGATAAAAGGATAACGGGACTTGAGCAATGCAAGGTAGAATCTGGAAATGAATGATGTACAAACGATGAACGTGTAATTGCGAAAATGTACAAGCTTTTGTTAAGGTGGAAAGCGAAGAAGGACACGCCGAGTGATAAAATGGGCTATGAATTTTGGTTTTAATAAGTGGGAGAGAATGTGGGCAAATGGGATGAAATTCACATCGTGTTATAATTTAAAACGCAAAAGCTGAGCGTGATAGAACCACATTATGTCAACCTTTCCTTCTCTGCGCTGATTGTTGCTTTTGGGGGCCCAAATTCCACATTGCTCTATTTACCTGTTCTGCAACAAGAAGGGACCTTGGAGGTCATCTAGTCCAACCCCCCGCTCAGGCAGGAAACCCTATACCATTTCAGACAAATGGCTGTCCAATCTCTTCTTAAAAACTTCCAGTGTTGGAGCATTCACCGCTTCTGGAGGCAGGTGGTTCCACTGGTTAATTGTTCTCACTGTCAGGAAGTTTCTCCTTAGTTCTAGGCTGCTTCTCTCCTTGATAATAATAATAATAATAAAGTTGGAAGGGACCTTGGAGGTCATCTAGTCCAACCCCCCGCTCAGGCAGGAAACCCTACACCATTTCGGACAAATGGCTGTCCAGTCTCTTCTTAAAAACTTCCAGTGTTGGAGCATTCACCACTTCTGGAGGCAGGTTGTTCCACTGGTTAATTGTTCTAACTATCAGGAAGTTTCTCCTTAGTTCTAAGTTGCTTCTCTCCTTGATCAGTTTCCACCCGTTGCTTCTCGTCCTGCCTTCGGGTGCTTTGGAGAATAGCTTGACTCCCTCTTCTTTGGGGCAGCCCCTGAGATACTGGAACACTGCTATCCTGTCCCCCCTCGTCCTTCTCTTTGTTAAACTAGACATACCCAATTCCAGCAATTCGTTTTTTTCTGGATTTCCCCTCCAAGCAATACAAATAACCCTGAACGTTTTAACAGAAAGGAAGAGCAGATGGATGTCTGTCTGTGACATTTCAGTCCTCCTTCAGTCGTTTTATGGTGCTTATCTTGCTAAAAGCGGAAACTCAAGAGTCTGTTTTGAAACAAACATTGTGAAGGGAAGAAGGAATATTTTCCTGAATGAAAATTCCATTAAGTCCAAATGGCTCCTTATAATTATGCAGTTTGAGCAGTAGGGTGGATACTGCTCTGCCGGTCTCTCGGTAGCGATCTGGGAAGTTAATTTTATTTTTCTGCAGGCTAAACTTTCATTGTGCTTATCCAAGTGGGAGGAAAAAATAAGGCAAAGTGAATTAGGACTGCCTTTTTTTCTTTTTTTTAATTGCCAGTAAAGGCAGTTACTGCTTCTTATCTTTTGGCCATATTTGCCTGGGATGGTTAGAGTCGTAGTAATCGCAGTGCAATCTGTTTTGATTAACAGAAGAATTCTACAGAAAAACAGAATAGCAGAGTTGGAAGGGACCTTGAAGGTAGTAATAATAATGATAATGGTAATGATAATGATAATGATAAAGTTGGAAGGGACCTTGGAGGTCATCGAGTCCAATCCCCTGCTCAGGCAGGAAACCCTACACCATTTCGAACAAATGGCTGTCCAGTCTCTTCTTAAAAATTTCCAGTGTTGGAGCATTCACAGCTTCTGGAGGCAGGTTGTTCCACTGGTTAATTGTTCTAACTGTCATGAAATTTCTCCTTATTTCCAGGTTGCTTGTCTCCTTGATCAATTTCTCCTTAGTTCCAGGTTGCTTCTCTCCTTGATCAATTTCCATCCGTTGCTTCTTGTCCTGCCTTCAGGCGCTTTGGAGAATAGCTTGACTCCCTCTTTTTAATGTCAACCCCTTAAATATTGGAAGACTGCTATCATGTCACTCCTAGTCCTTTTTTTTTTTTTTATTAAGCTAGATATATGCAATTCCAGCAACTGTGCTTGTTGGTTTTCTCTGGTCATAGGAACATTTCTGGCAGTAGATGGATGTGAACCAAGAAGGATGCAAATGTTATAATCTATAGAAGAATAAAATACACATTTGGTGGCTCTATTTTGGAAAATGTCTATGCAATCCAGCCTGTCCTGGCACATGTTTAAGAAACCAAGTGTGCATTGTCCCTCCCATAATTAGTCATATATGGCATTAGTTACTGGGGTCTGAAAAATGTATATAACTGTAAGGAGCAGACATCCTAGTTAAGAAGGGGGTTTATATCAATTGGAACATTGGAACAGCTTTTGAAAATAAAATATTGTTGTGGTTAGGAATGATCCTGGACTGAATCCCCAGGCAAGTCTGGAAAATAAAATAAATAATAAATAAAATAAAATAAAATAAAATAAAATAATAAAAAATAAAATAAAATAAAATAATAAAATAAAAAATAAAATAAAATAAAATAAATAAATAAAATAAAATAAAATAAATTAAAATATAAAATAATAAAATAAATAAAATAAAATAAAATAAAATAAAATAAAATAAATAATAAAATAAAATAAAATAAAATAAAATAAAATAATAAAATAAAATAATAAAATAAAATAAAATAAAATAATAAAATAAAATAAAATAAAATAAAATAAAATAAAATAATAAAATAAAATAATAAAATAAAAATAAAATAAAATAAAATAAAATAATATAAAATAATAAAATAAAATAAAATAATAAAGTAAAATAAAATTAAATAATAAAATAAAATAAAATAATAAAATAATAAAATAATAAATAAAATAAAAAATAAAATAAAATTAGAATAAAATAAAGTAAAATAAAATAAAATAATAAAATAATAAATAAAATAAAAAATAAAATAAAATTAGAATAAAATAAAATAAGTAAAATAAAATAAAATAAAATTAGAATAAAATAAAATAAAATAATAAAATAAAATAAAATAATAAAATAATAAATAAAATAAAAAATAAAATAAAAAATAAAATAAAATTAGAATAAAATAAATGAAGTAAAATAAAATAAAATAAAATTAGAATAAAATAAAATAAAATATTATTCTAACGAGGAAGGCTCTGAACACCCACATTTCAGGTTGCACCACGCCCTCTGCCCGCTTCGGAAGACTCTGCCAGGGCCGTGTCACCCTCTAAAGGAGCGCTCCAAACTCAGCCAGATGGAGACGAATTTCTTGGAGAAATTCCCAGACTTCAAACTCCTGCATCGGCTCAGATCCTCAGCTTCCAACTCAGGATTGGCCAAGTTATCGTAAGGATTATTGCGATGGCCCTTGCAATCTGTTATTGTCCCAGTCAATCTAGCAAAGTCAACAGCTACTTTGCACCGGGCGTTCCAGCACTTGAAACAATATTCAATAAAGAATAGAAAAAGCACTTATAATAAATACGGTTGGATGGTGAGGAATGAAAGGATTTATATTCCTTGCAGACCGCTGGTCATCTGTCTTCTTTTAGAGTCGTTGAGGCCACTTGGAGGTTTGTCTGTGTCCTCAGGGTCACCTGAATAGTGCAAATGGGTGTGGAGCTTTCTTGGAATTGTTGAAAGGACTGTGTGGTAGACTGGAGATAGATGATGTCATATCCCTCCCCCTCTGTTGAGGGAGGGCTGTTAAGTTTTGACCTAGATGGTCTCTTTGACCCCTCTTTCAAACTAGCGGTCCTCTCTGTCCAAAATGTCAACTCTGCTGTCTTGGAAAGAGCGGCCTTGGTCTTTTAAAGGAGATGGGCTGCTGAATTTTGTCCTAAAGGGTTTGTTCTCTTATTGGATAACTATGACCTGGATGACTGAGAATCTCCATATGGCTACGTAGGGATTCTAGGCTTTTGACTCTTTTGACTCCGCCCCCGGATTCTGCCATTCCTTCTCTTACAGAACCCTAGCGATAAAGTAAGATCTTTGGGGGCTCTTCCTCCGAGCATCTGACCTTTTATAGTTGTTTTTGTTTTAAAAATAATGAAAATGTTTGCAAATTGGTTGTGTCTCCTACTAATCCGAACCCTTTTGTTTATTAGGACCGCCCCAGAGAACTGTGTCTCCTAAACAAGAACACGAAGATGGGAAACACGAAAAGGTGACGGACAAAGGAAGCGAGAGTGGAACGTCTTGCAACGAATTGTCCACCTCCAGTTGCGAGAGTCATTCCGAAGCCGGCACGCCTCAAGAGAACGCTACCAGCACCCAGCAGCCTACAGGCCACCAGCCCAACACTCTGACATTGGATCGCCCATCGAAGAAGGCTCCGGTTCAGAAAATGCCTCCACCGGATAAGCGTCGAAACAGCGAACTTTTCCAGACTCTCATGAGTAAGTCCCGAGAAATAAACCTCTCCAAGAAAAAGGTCTGCGAGAAGCTCAGCGTTGAAGAAGAGATGAAAAGATGCATTCAGGATTTTAAAAAAATCCACATCCCCGATGATTTTCCAGAAAGAAAACGTCCATGGCAATCTGAACTGTTACAAAAATACGGGCTATAGTTTTTCGGTATTGAGTATCCTGTCCGTGGTGCATTAGGTGTCTATTTTCATTGCCGGTTTCTTGTGGGTCTACTCCTCGGAGTTCTGCGGCTTCTTTCTTTCTGTGAACTGGATGTTGGATAGGACATGAGTGGACTGTTTTTCTTTCTTTCTTTTTTTAAAGGATAACAACGAATTAAAAATAAAACCTAGATCCTTTTATAATAGTTAACAAATGCATGGTCAAGACATTTGGGGCTTCAGCCTTCTCATCCATGGAATAAATATATCATCAGATCGCTCACCATTTTATAGACATAATAGCAGTGATATAAAGTTCCAGAGCACAAAAGGATGGGTCTAAGGAAGGGATGGGGAACTACGGCCCCGTTTATGACTTGTAGACTTCAACTCCCAGAATTCCTGTGCCAGCCATTTTAATAGGTAAGACTCAGGTTCTAAGGTAGAGGTAGGGAACTAACGGCCCCCTTTATGACTTGTAGAATTCAACTCCCAGAATTCCTGAGCCAGCCAGGAATTCTGGGAGTTGATGTCCACAAGTCACAAAAGGGCCATGGTTCCCCACCTCTGGTCTAAGGATACAGGGGTAGAATTTGGTGCAAACACATTCTTAAAAGTTAACACAATGAAGGAAGCTTCCATTTTGCATGAGCACAATAGGGACAAGTAGCTCACACAAGAGAACAAAAGGTTGCGTGCTGCTGGGATAAATATTTTGTTCATTGCCAAGATGATAACTGTAAAATGCCTTTGGAATTGAACCTTAGGAGGATTTGTGTATGGATGTGTGTTTGTTTTGTAAGGATGATGTAAATATGCCTTATATTGTTCAATGATCACACCCGACCTTCATCTAATTAATGTTTGCCAGGGTTATTTCTGTGAAATGCAAAAAAATATATATATCAGCGGATTGTGAAACTGGTTTGATGATCTGAAAATCTTCTGTTTTCATGTTAATCAGCAATGTTGGAAAAATAAAAATAAACATGATCTTAATGTATTGGTTGAAAGGGGCCTACTATTAAACCTTCCTGATTGATTGATTGATTGATTGCTGTTTGAACCTTCAAGTACATTTTAAGAAGATTTTACTCACTGTCCTCTATTTTGCTACCATATTGTAAATAACATGTTATAGATGAAATGAATAATGCTTGGATTATGAGTTTGAATTTTAATTAAAATGTTCAAGGTAAATTCAACAAGTTAGGAAAAAGGAGTCTTATAACATTCAGAATTGTTGTGTTAAAATCTCACCATGAGTGCACAACTCTTATCTGGCAAAGAAAATAGTATTTCTGACAATTGATAATAAATTAGTAAAGATACTAATTTATCCCTAATAAGATAGTGGCCTTCATTATACATTTCACAAGGTATGAACATCAGGATGACACAAAACAATCCAGCAAAACAGGTTTTATTATAAATTAAGAATTTGCAGAGACAAGTGAAATATTGCTGTCCATTGAGGGTTTTTTTTAAAAAAAATATATACAGTTTGTTTTTCTTAATTCTATTGTTTCATGCCTTTGTTTGCAACACTGTTGTATCTTCAACAATTTAATTCAGCCAATCAGATTTGGAAGAGTTTATTGGTGACATGAGTGTTGAAATATTTTCAGGATATTGAGATTTTGTAGCCTTATTTTGTGAGTTCAAGTTATAGGTTGAAAACCACACTTTTGCAGTCTTGACCAATTCAATAATCATTGGTCTAGTAATGATGTAAATGTTGTAAAAAAAACCAAACCCATGGAGTTGTGGAATCAAATCATCAATATCCGAAATATCCCCCATCTAATTGGAACCCTGCAACTCCTAAAAAATAAATAAATCAGCATTGTCTCATGCTTAAGTCACACCTCATTAAAGACGTCATAATAATAATAATAATAATAATAATAATAATAATAATAATAATAATAATAATAATAATAATAATAATAATAATAATAATTGGTAAGGATTCGATAGCCAAATCCAGTCTAAACATCTGGCTGACTGTGCGATGATCCATAATAATAATAATAATAATAATAATAATAATAATAATAATAATAATAATAATAATAATAAGTAGTAGTAGTAGTAGTAGTAGTAGTACCAATAGTAATAGGCACCTTGGGTGCAATCCCAAAACAACTGGAGCACCACTTGAACACCATCATCGGCATTGACAAATTCGCCATCAGTCAATTGCAAAAGGCGGCCTTACTAGGAACTGCTTCCATCCTGCGACGAGATCTGTAATACCATCAAACATCCACATCTGCCTATCCCAGGTCCTGGGAAAGGACTCGATAGGTAGACAAAAATGCCAAATGCGATGATTAATAATAATAATAATAATAATAATAATAATAATAATAATATTGGAAGGGACCTTGGAGGTCATCTAATCCAACCCCCTGCTCAGGCAGGAAACCCTATACCATTTCAGAACAAGATTTAGTCATAACTACGTAATTGAAACCCAAGGATTTCAGTGGATAAATTCTAACTATGATTACGTACCACTCAAAATCTCCTCCCTTTCTCTTCTGCTTTCATTTTTCTTTTCCTTGTACAGGCAGTCCTCGAATTTACAACAGGATTACACTCCATTACCTTCTGGGTTTAATCATTTCTCAAAATGTAATTGTTGCTCAGATGGATCGGTGTACTGCCTCTTCCCGCACTGCAGTGCGCACAAAGCACACAACTTACTGTATAACTGAGGAAGAAAGAGCGGATGAGAGAAATGCGATGTGTTTGGGACAAAAACTATATATAGAAATGTAGTTTTTGGCTTCAGTTAATTCCGTGCAATTCTTTTCCTCCTAGCTCCATTTGCGGCCTGCCAACGTTCACCGATCCAAGCGGTTGTTCTGTCTTGTTTTTTATTTCCCAGTTTTTGCTTCCTCCCGTTGGAGGGTTGCCAGGTTCGCAAGATTTTAGCGGCAAAACCGATCTTAATCTTTTCTTGGCTGATTTACAATTTCTATTAATAAAAAGGGCCCAGCTTGATTTTCCTTGCTTATATAAATAGCGTACACTTTTCTCCAGCAGAGAAAT